CGGTCAAAGGCAATCGGGAGGACCGCCGGGATGATCGGGATGGAGAGAAGGATGGGGAACGCCCTGAAGGGCCACCCACTTGGCAGAGAAGGGTGGAGTTACCTGTTTCCGAAGGACAAGATCCATTGAACTGGATAAACAGGGCAGAGAATGTTTTCGAAATTCAGAAGGTGACAGAGGCAGAGAAGGTTGAACTGGCGTATATTAGCATGGAGGAAGCGCCGGTTACTGGTTCAAATTCTGGAAAGAAAAAGCGAGAGACTGATCTTGGGAGGGTCTAAAGGAAGCTCTGGTTATCATATTTGAATGTCGAAATCGGGGCGGAATTTTTGAGAGGATGGTGGCAATAAAGCAAACAGGCACAGTGGAGGAATATGTGCAAGCTTTCGAGGTGCTGGTAGGACAGACTAAGGCGTTTTCTGACGACCAATTGTTGGAGTATTTTTTGGCAGGCCTAAGGGAAGAGGTGCGGTATCAAATTAGACCCCACGATCCTCAAGATTTGATGACGGCCATGAGGATTGCGCGCGATGTTGAAGAAGTGCTACGCGGGTTGAAAATGAATGGGTGGACGACAACCAAGAATACACAATCTTGGAACCGGTCGACGGGAGGCGGAGGAATATTGACGAGGATAGAACCGATGAGGAGTAACCCAGGGAGACTAAGCGCGACGGAGAGCATGGGTTCGGTAGGACAAGATGGAACTATGGGAAGCGGACCGCGGCGAGGCGGAAAAACAGTGGGTAGTGACAATCGAGGACGGAACTCGCAAAATCTTCCTTACCCAGAATTTTTGAAGCGACAAGAAAAGGGGAGATGCTTCAGATGCGGGGGACCTTTCAGCCCCGGGCACCACTGTCCTGAGAGGAGTTTACGGGTAGTGTTGTTGGCAGAAAATGAAGAGGAGGAAACAAAAGAGGAGGTGGCCGAGGTGGAGCAGAAACTGATGGAGTTATCAGTCTTCTCGGCTGGCCAACTGACCCAACCTAAAACGATGAAGCGTAGAGTTGGAGGGAAAGTGGTGTTAATACTCATAGACAGTGGTGTTAATACTGATAGACAGTGGTGTTAACGGGAAGCAAAAGGAGAAGTTGGAGCAAGTTTTAAAGGACCATGCAGAGGTCTTTTGTGAGCCCAAGGGGTTACCTCCTAACAGGGACAAGGTGCACCAAATCACGTTAAAAGAGGATATCGATCCGGTGAATGTCCGGCCATATAGGTACCCATTTGATGAAAGGGGAAATTGAGAGGCAAGTGGCAGAGATGCTGAAAGCAGGGATCATTAGGCCGAGTACTAGTCCTTATTCAAGTCCCGTGATTCTGGTGAAGAAAGAGGATGGAAGCTAGAGATTTTGTGTAAACTATCGGGCGTTGAACAGGGCTACTATTCCGGATAAATTTCCTATTCCGGTCATAGAGAAATTATTAGATGAATTGAGAGAGAAGGTGTCGAAGGTAGATTTAAAGGCGGGTACCATCAAATCAGGATGGGAAATGAGGATATACACAAGAACTCACCAAGGTCACTATGAGTTCTTGGTGACGCCTTTTGGCCTCACCAATGCCCAACACCGTTCCAAAGTACCATGAACAGCTTACTGCAGCCTTTCATGAGGAGGTTTGTTTTGGTATGTTTTTATGACATCTTCATCTACCACTGGAATTGGGAAGACCGTGTACAGTATGTGGGACAAATTCTGAGTGGGTTGAGGAAGAACGAATGGGTAGCCAATACAAAGAAATGCAAGTTTGGCAAGGGGAAGATAAGATATTTGGGTCACTTGATATCTGCAAGGGGTATGGAGATGGACCCAGAGAAAATCAGTGATGGAGTGGGAGGAACCCAAGACGCTGAAGGCGCTGAGAGGATTCTTAGGTCTTATGGGTTATTACCGACGTTTTGTGAGAGAAGTAGCAAAACCCTTGACAGAACTGTTAAAGAATAGACAATTTAAGTGGTCGGATGGGGCCAAGGAGGCGATAGACAGATGGAAGGAGTTGATCACCACTACACCAGTGCTTGCTCTGCCAGATTTTGAACAGCCCTTCCATATAGAGTGCGATGCATCTGGAGGAGGAGTAGGAGTATTAATGCAAGGAAAAAAACCCATTGCGTTTTTCAGTAGAGCTCTGTCAGAGGGATCACTAAATAAGTCCATATATGAGGAGGAACTCATGGCTTTGGTCATGACAATACAAAATTAGAGACCCTACCTGTTGGGGGCAGAAATTCTTTGTTCACACTGATCAGGGAAATCTCAAATACTTACTTGAACAAAGGATAACCACCCAAAATCAACAAAACTGGATTGCAAAGTTGTTGGGTTACGATTTCGAGATCGAGTATAAATCCGGGGCCACAAACGAGTTGTTGATGCTTCTTCCAAGAGAAGGGAAGACAAGGAGGAGGGGGAAAAATAATTAAGGGTGGTGACGCAGCCTTATTGGCAAGACTTTGAAGAAGTTCTGCGAGAAGTAGAGGAAGATGAAGCTTTGGTGAAGATCAGGGAAGAAATCAGAAAGGAACTTGATGCCCACCCCGCCTATACGCTTGAACATGATCGACTGCATCATAAGGGAAGGCTAGTTCTGTCTGCAGAGTCAGCTTGGATACCTAAGATCCTAGCTGAGTTTCATTCGACTAGAACATGGGGGACATTCGTCAAGTTGCCCAGTTGCTCTTTTGGATAGGGATGAAGCAGACTGATTTTGTAGCAAGGTGTTTGACATGCCAACAACACAAATATTTGGCATCCTCTCCCCAAGGGTTGTTGCAATCCTTACCCATACCTCACGCTATCTAGGAGGAGGTGAGTATGAATTTCATTGTAAAATTGTCGAAATCACAGGGATATGATGCAGTGTTGGTTGTGGTGGACCGCCTTAGTAAGTATGGGCATTTTCTGCCACTGAAACATCCTTACTCAGCGCGTACTGTTGCGGAAGCTTTTGTTAAGGAGGTGATAAGGCTACATGGGGTGCCAATATCCATTGTCAATGACCGTGACCCTATGTTCTTGAGTGTGTTTTGGAGGGAGACCTCTAGAATGCAAGGCACGCAGTTGAAGATGAGCACTACCTATCATCCTGAATTGGATGAGCAAACGGAAGTATTGAATAGGATACTAGAAGGCTACTTGAGATGTTTCTGTTCTAAGCAACCAAAAAACTAGAGTATAGTAATTCCTTGGGCTGAGTATTGGTACAATACTAGGTATCAAAGTGCAGCGAAATGTACTCCTTTTGAAACGGTGTATGGGAGAGCTCCCCCTTCCTTGAATAGGTTTATACCGGGGGAAACAGCGGTAGAAGCAGTAGCACAAGAGTTGCAAACGCGTGATGAAGCATTGAACCAGCTTAAGTTCCATTTAAACCGAGCCCAAGATATGATGGCAAAGTACGCCAACAGAAAAAGAAGATTTGGAGATATTAAGATTGATGATTGAGTTTACTTAAAAATAAGACCACATTGGCAAAATTCTATGCCTGCTAAGGTATTTTGGACCCTTTAAAGTGTTACAGCAGGTGGGGGAGGTTGCGTTCAAACTTCAATTAGCTGAAACAGCCCAGATTCATCCGGTATTTTATGTGTCACAGTTAAAAAAAGCAGTGGGTACCTAGAATGTTGAAAAGGAGCTACCACCATATCTGCAAGCAGACGGTCCAACCTTTTGGCCCCTTCAGATTTTAGACGAAAGGCAAACACAGCAGGGGAGGAGGTGGTGCAACTGATATTGGTGGAGTGGCAAGAAGAGGGAAGAGATGGTGCAACATGGGAAGATGTTTCAATGATCCAAGATCAATATCCGGACTTCAACCTTGGGAACAAGGTTGCTCAACCAGCGGCGGATAATGTTAGAGAGTGGAAAGTGTATGAAAGGAGAAAGAAAACATTAATTACCTAACTCTTTAGCAGTTAGGTAGGGTGGGAAGTGTAACTGTGTATATAAGGTAGAGTTGTGGTGTTGTAGAGGGTTGTTGAGTATATTCTTTTGTTATTTGCAGGACACATTGTCCTCGGAGGGAGATTAGGCTCTATAGTGACTGTTGTACTGGATTCTTGGAGATAATTCAATACAGAACTATTCTTTTCCTATTCGTTTCTGGTGATTAGTGTGGGTGAGTGTGCGTGGAGTTGGGTTTCTCTTTCAAGAAACCTATCACACTTAGAGATGTATGATATTTATGATTTAAAATTTCTAGTAGTCCAGGAATGCAGTGATCAGTTCTTTAACCTCATAAGAAACACTGATGCTAGTAGAAGCTGGCTGGCGCAGAGTAACAGAAGAAACAGTCCCAGTTCCAGTTAAGCTGCGCAAAGCCCTTGGCCTCTGCTGTGAAAATGAAAATAACTTTGCTACAATGTCCTGAAACGAAGAAAGTCAACAATCAAGTAACATTTAAATTTAAATTAAAGTACAATTTTAAATAACAAATTAATAAAAGATAGAAACTACAACTGTTGGACAGCTGCAGCAAAAACAAAGTGAAACTGTGTGAACTGGTACAAAAACTGAGTAGTAGAACCTACAAAAGCAACACCAGTAAAAAGAACGTTAGAAACAACAAAGAGATGTTAGTGAACTGAGATAGCTCAGCAAAAAAGGGTTAGTAAAGTTAGATAACTAAGGCAGCAAAAAAAATGTTAGTCACAGAAAATTAGTACAACTGAAACTGTTAGTATTGCCAGAGAAAAGCTTGGTTAATAACACTAATTTGTAAAATAAAATTCAAAACTAAAATAAACTAAACTAACTCCTACTTATAGCAAAAAGTAATCACACAGATCAAACTACTACAAGAAACATCTTAATAAAACCATTTAATCGAAATTACTAAAATCTAAACCTACCAATTACAAAGGTTAAAAACTATTTAAACTACTTCAGTAAAACAGATTTAAAACTACTTATGACCATCTAAAATATAAAGAAAACTAGACACAACAAATGAAGACTTAATTAGAATTTAAAATAACATCAGAAAGAAAGTACTGTTCCCAAAAACAGCAAAATGCTTGAACATCTACGAAAATAAGAAAACAATTACTAAACAGTGAATCTAACTAAAAGATAACGAAATATGAAATCAAAACTAAGAACAGGCCTAGTATCTAATCCTAGCTAACTAAAAAAGAGAAGAAATGCAAAAGTAACAGCATACCAGTAAAAGCAAACTAAAACAGCAGAGAAAGCACCCTGCAAACTTTGAATTTACATTTATACGGTGCGGGGGAGAATTATTCACAACTTGTTAATAGAGAATTAAAAATGGTTCTTGGAAACAGCAAAAAATCAAATGAAAATGTTCCAACTAAATGAGAATTACAAAGAAGAATGAAACTGAAACATCCACACAGATCTATCACTACTCTAGACTTGCTTTTGGGTTGACCACTGTTTGAGAAGGAATTGCACTTCACTTCTGTTGAACAAGTTCATTCACAGCACTAGCAAATTGTCCAATTTGAGTTTTTAAATCTTCAAATGTAGCTTCTATTGTTGAACTTTGGCTTGCTGTTGTGGTGCAAAACCTGATTGTCCAAACTGCTGGAACTGCCCAGGATTGGATCCTACATTCTGCTTGAACTGTTGAGCCTGTTGATTGATCTGTTGCATTTGATTATGGGGCTGCTGGACAAACAACTGTGTTTGCAGATGTGGTGGTGGCACATATCTCATATTAGGTATATCTCTCCCCCCATAACTATACTGCTGCTGTTATCCTTGATTGTCGTTCTTCCAGGCCTGTTGGGGCTGCCTAAAAGCATTTTGCTGGCCCTGATAAACTCCAGCCACCAATTGAGTTCCAATATTAGAGACTTCCTGCAGCCAAGGGCTCTCAACAACTAAATGGTAAAATCAACTCAAAATGACAAAGCCTTGCACCAACAGAAAAACAATGAAATCACAGATTCATAGCTTATATGAGCTAAAAAAGGTTACACTTTACAAGAATAATAGCTTACGTTTGTACCTATTAACAGTCAAGATAGTGAATCACTAATAAACTGTTTTGTTGGCTTTAATAGGCCAAGAATGACCCAGTGCCAGTATAACTAGTTGCTAATGCCTTTCCAGCAGAGGTAGGCTGGGAGAATGCTAACTGAGAACGTCCAAGCTCAAGACCGGGGCAGAAACTCTTCCTGCAACCAATTTAACATGGGAAGTTCAAATCACTAGGCAAGCAAATGGTTGAAGAATAATTAAATATACGTTTAGATGAGTGTTTAAAAAAATAATTTCGAGATAAAATGATTTGTTTTAATGTCTTTATTCTAAAAGTAAATTTGATACAAGACTTTCCATATATCCTTTTCAATACAAAGCAGAACTATTTATCACTTCTTATCAAATTAGAAAATAGCAAGCCATGTATTATATAAAATCAGTTATGATACTTCCTTTTTGTAAAATCAAACACATTTTCCCAACCACTTAGCACTAGTTCCATGTAGTTAGTATTAGGACGTAAAAACAAATAATATTCTTTAGAGGTCTTCCATTACCTATGAATTTATTTGAAGATTCCATAATGTAACTAATGGTGAATTGGGATGCACTTGCCAGAGGGTCAATTAAAGCCAAATTTAATTGAAGTTACCTCACTGCCTCTAGCAACTGGGTTGCAATGCCTTTTCTTCTGTTGGAGGGAGTAATCCAAATGGCCCTAACGCCACAAGCAGCAGCAGTCGGTTCGCTGTCACAGAAGATTGCCCCTTCCATCTTTTCGATATCACTCACATTAACAACTTTTCTTTGGAGCTCCCTTTGAAAAATAACATTCCCAAACTGAAGAGTTGTAGAACGCGCCGTCACTCCCCTTTTCTTCGCGCTATGAACGGGTCCAGCACCAGAGCTAGACACAACTTTGAATGCCTTTTCAATTGGTTCAGCAACGAGACACCCAGCAACCCTATTAAGAGAAACAAACAGATACACCTTACAGCGCTCATGAAGTATCCACCCACTTCCAATATCAATTTCCATCATCCTCACCACCTCTTCAATTTTCTTCCTGTGATAAAACGGGTCGGACTCCGATAACAAAATGACCCGACCCGAATCCAAACTGGGTAGAGAAATAACATTTTCTTTGGTCCAACCCTGCAGAATAAGAAAATAAGATAAAATTGGGGATAAGAATCAGCAAAAGAAGAGAGTGTAGGCGGAGAGCTAACTCTGAACTGGACTCCCTGCGTGTATGATTTGTGAAATTCGTTGTGGGATTTCTCGTCTTGTGGATCGCCGGGAGTGAACTTCACACCGCACGTAGGACATGCGCGTAAGAGGAAATCGGATTGGCCAAAATCAAGGTGAAACTGAGCGTAGCTTCTCTTCTTGTTTTTGACGAGTGTTACGGGTTTGGGATCCGAAGTACCGGCGCTAGGGTTTGGGCGCCTTCGGGTGTAGGTGTTGATGATGTGGTGTCGCTGATTCTCCCAGACTGACAAATCATTTTCATTGTCGGAAGAAGAGGAAGCTGGGGTGGATCTGAAGAAAGCGGTGATCTTGGACTGCATTTGTGGTTCTTTCTTACTTTGTGGCAGCGTTATGGACGGTTTTTTTCATTTGCCGCCAAAACTTTTCGTTTTGTTTTTAAATTTCCTGTCTTTGTCTCTTTTCAACGTGGAGTTGAAGAAGCTCCAAACCCGATTATTCCATACATATAGCTAGGTAATGATTTCATCAATTCACATTTAGCTGCAAATTAAAGACGTAAGTTATTATATAATTTTATTAAATAGTTATAATAGACCAAACAATACGTACATTGAAATTGTTGATAGATAAAGGCTTATTCTCGATTGTAATTTTATTTATCTTTTATAGTTGTTATTCTAACAATAATATATTTTTTAATTGGCTGTCTAAAAATATTTTATATTCATATTGTGAATACTGACAAATATTCGCTATAATATTTATTTTTATTATAGTAAACCTATAATATTATTCATTTATCACATTTTTGTGTAAACATTAAATTTTATAATTACATGTGAGTTATTTAGATAGATAAATAAATAGATAAAGAGATGCTGTTTGTTTTTTCTCATGGAGACAAGTTCTGAGAAAAAAAAATTATATTTCTGAATGAGTATAACAACAAAATTATGGTAGTAAAAATATAAATTTAAAGTAAAATATGAAATGTATTATTGATGAATAGGAATAGATTTTGGCATTGATATATACTGTTAGTGTATAAAGAAATATTACAAACCGCAAAAAGTAAAAGTTTATTCTGTAAAGAAAACCGTAATATGGAACATAAATAAAGTTGAAGAAGATTTCAAATCCTAAACATAAAAACGAAAATTTTATCCCAATAAAAGGAATTAATTAACAAAAATAAATACGAACAAACTTTAATATAAACACCATAAAAACACATAAAAAATTAACTTTTACCCAACAACAATATAGCTTAAGCAATATAAACAAATATTATAAATTGTAGACCGATAAAAGTTTAATTTTTAGCAAAAACATTTGTAATATGAAACATAAACAAAGATAAAGAAAATTTGAGACTGTAATCATCAAAAGTCAAAACATTAACACGGTGAATGGACGATAATTGCCGAAAACTAACATGGTAAAGAAACAAATAAATATTTAATGTAAAACAAGTTATGCAGTATAAAAAAATATTGCAAAATTTAGATAGATAAAGTTCGATTTTGACAAAGAAATTAAAATTAAAATGATAATGGAACTCACATAAATACATAACACTTGCCCGAGCATTCATACATTCATGGGGGTTGATTTCTTTTTCCCTCTTTTTGCAAAGTTTTTTTTTTGGGTTAATTATGTTAATGACACTTGATAAATATTATCTTTTGTATTCCCTTATCTGTATAAATTATAAATTATAAATATAAATATAAATTTGTATATATTATAAATAAATAGACTATAGATTTATGTAAAGTTTTTTTTTTATTAATTTGAGTTAATTTTACGAGTGACACATGTCAATAAAATTAAATGAAATCTGAAAAAAAGTTAGTGTAATTTTCATTGACTATGATACTCTGGTATATTTTTTAGAGGAACACAATAGGAGATTTTATTCGCCACAAAAAAGAAAATGCAAAAGCAGAAACAGGTTTGTAAATTAAAAAAAGTTTGAAGGTAGCAACAAAGCATTTAATGAAAGCAAGAGGTGTTGGAAGGCCATTACTGTTTGATGGGCCTTGTGTTTGAGATGTGGGTGTTACTCCCTCCACCCCCACACGTCTCTTCCTCCACCTCTCCAATTTTTTAAAATGCCAATTATATCCTTCTAAAATGACAATTATATCCTCAAAAGTTAAAATTTTTTATTTTTATTATTTTAATATTTTAATTTATTTAAAACTTCTGATTTACTTCCCTCTGCACCTCTTCCTCTTTTCCATTTTCGTTTACCTTTCTCTCTTCCGTTAAGCTTCTTCTCCACCTATAACAAATTCATATTTTAACAAATTCATATTTTAACAAAATTATTACGTTTAAAAACTAACCATATATAACATTTAAAATTATAAATTTAAATATAAATTACTGTAAATAAAATAAACAAATAAAATAAAAACGAAACGTAAAAGGAACACTGCCTCTGGACGGATGACATCCTTCAACGGATGTCAACATCCGTTGAAGGCAAAACGGATGTCGACATCCGTTTTGCCTTAAACGGATGTTGACATCCGTTGAAGGATGTCATCCGTCCATAGGCAGTGTTCCTTTTACGTTTCGTTTTTATTTTACTACGTTTTGCGGCACATGCAAGGATTATAGGCTTGGATATTAAAAGGATTATTGGAAGTATGGGAAGGATTTAGGGTTTAGGATTATTGGAAGGATTATGACTACGTACCTGGAGAGGAACCACGACAAGGACACTACACCATAAACGCACTGCACCACGTACTGCACCGAGAACAAGAAGAAGATTGTTTGATAATTCTTTTCACGATCACCAAGCTTTGTAGAAAAATATTTTACTCATACAAGAAACTACGTAGGTTATCAGTGAAATATGTTATAAATGAATAAAATTAAAAAAACAACAATTTTAAAAATAAAATTTTACTGAGGGGCAAAATAGTAAAGGAAAGGTGGAGGAAGGGACAAAATAGTAAAGGGGAGGTGGAGGAAGAGATGTGTGGGGGTGGAGGGAGCAACACCCTTGAGATGTTTATATGACGTTACTGGTGAAGGAAGGCCCAATCCGAGTTGTACGAAAGTACTAGCTGAGACGAAACTCACTTTCTTTGTGGGCGTGCCAAATGCAAATGCAAATGCAACAAACGCAGCAGCAGGCCACGACGGCACCCATCTCAACCTCCACTCCTCCTCCCTCCTCCGGTGGATCCGCTTCCGAGGCACCGCCGAAGCAGGTGGCTCAAGCAATGGACAAGCTAGGACAGGCCGAACGAATCATCGCCGACATCCGAATCGGCGCCGACCGCCTCCTCGAAGCGCTATTCGTCGCGGCAGCGCAGCCTCACCAAGGCAACAAGCCTCTCCAAATGTTCCTCAAGGAAGACGCCTGCATGCGTCAGTATCTTCAAGACCTTCGATCGCTTGGTAATCGTGTCGTTGGATTTCTTGCCCCTTCGTTTTTTTGTTCCGCGGATTAGGGTTTTGGTTTGCACTCTGCGACGTCGATTTTATGATTAGTTCTGCGTGGTTTTTCGGTTTTGTAGGTAAGGAGTTGGAAGAATCTGGAGTTCTCAGTGAATCACTTCGATCGAGAAAAGACTTTTGGGGCTTGCATATGCCTCTAGTTTGTCCAGATGGCGCTGTGGTTGCGTATGCGTGGAAACGACAGCTTGCGGGTCAAGCTGGCGCTTCTGCAGTCGACAGGACTAGGTTCGTTTCTGTTAAATTTCTTCTTCTTCAGTTCTGTATGCCATTTGAATTTCCGTGTTTGGATAACGAAATAGAATGGAAAACAATGGATTCAAATTCAAACGTGTTTTGGTTATTTGGTGGTGGTGTGTTGAACATAGGGAAGACAGCTTAGCGAACGATGGTATCTGGTATTCTTAGACCAGTGATTTTTTCTTTTTGAGGATTTTGTGTGCATGTATAAGTAGATGTCTTAATCTTGTTTTTCTATTCGCTCCCGAATACGTATAGAGCAAAGGAGTGATAATAATTGATATGACCCTATGCTACGTGCTAACCGCCTCAGTCTAAGTTGTGTAGAAATGGTGACAGTTAGTATGAGTAAGTTAGTTTGTTTACCGTGGACAGTTAGACACATAGCAAAACTGTTAACAACTGTACTGTTTTTGCTGACGTCTCACTTCACTTTCATGAAGTTTGCCTCCAAATTTTTTTGGTCTCAAAATTGACTTGAATTTTGCTGTTATCCTTGCCAACAATACTTTGCACGACATTTAGCTGCTCCACTTTGTTGAATACAATTGTCAAAGAAATACTTGGCCCCTTTCTTTATGTTTTGTTTTTCATGGGTATTCTTGCTTGCTGACTTGTCATTCTCGATGCTGCTGATTTGTGTTACTTTAGCTGCTCACTCAGGCTTTTGAATGATACCAGGTTAGCTCTCAAAGCCTTCACTGATCAGAAAAGGCGTTTTTTCCCACATCTCGATGATGGACTTGAAACTAGTGACTCGGCTTCAAAGAGATGTTGTGTGTCTGAAGAAATTACAGTGGATCCCAAGGAAGAAATTAGGTTTTTAAGGACGCTACCTGATGTTCTGAAGTCTGTAGAGAAGGATGTGCCAAGTCTGAAAATTTTAACTTTTGAACGATTGGACTGGTTGAAAAGAGCTTCCACACTTAGCTCATCGGCAAATGAGAGTTCTCTAGAACATAACTATCACGGTTCTAATAAGTTAAGGCTAGGATCAGTTGGAACTGTTGCTGAAGAGAAGGTTGCGGTGATAGAAATGTTATTCCCATCTATCTTTAGAGCTGTTGTATCCTTGCATCCTGCTGGTTCCATGGATCCTGATGCTGTAGCTTTCTTTTCTCCACATGAGGTATACCTTCCAGTGTTACTATCACATGAGAAATGTTAGGGACTCTCTTTCAAATACTCTATTGTTGCTGAATTTTATTGCAAATTACAAATTTTGATGGGTTGCACTTCTCATTTAATGACTTACCTGATTTAGAAGTGGAACCTTCCGTGATATGTGACTTTTTATGATTCTCAGCAATGATGGAGTGTCGAAGAGAACGTTGCTAGAATTTTTCTTGTGACATATATATATATATATATCATAATTTATTTTTCAGTTTCCTGAAAATCATTAGGTGTGTGAAATGTTTGGTTACCAGCATGCCATGCACATATTAGATGATGTCTTAACACAAGTTGTTGTGGTAGTTCTTGTAACTGATGTTAATTTCCGTTTCTCATCTCCTTCGCAGTCCTTAGTTTCCGTAAGTTAAGTTTCCATGGTTATCAAAAAATGTGAGTCAACTCATAAACTCATCCAATTGTGCATTCCCACACCCTCAAACATAGGTCACTTGCACATAGCATCAATTTGTAGTAGGCTTGTGTAAAGTTGAGTAAAATTGTGAGTTTAGAGTAGATTCAACAAGCTCAGTTGGACACTAGAAAAAAGCCAAAAATGACACTGGATTTTGTTGTTTCTAGGTCATGATGTATGCTAAAACACATCTTGTTAACAATTATGTGGTTCACTGGTTCTCTCTTGCAAGTTTCTGTCTGGTTTAATTGTTGATCTTTTGTTTTCCTATGGTTTAACAGATCTGTCTTAGTGTCTTTCTCCTCTCCTCTGTACTCTCCTATTTACTCTCTCTTGTCCATTTCATAGACAGGGCTGGCAATAGCTTCAAAGTTAGTGGCTTGGGTCATGTTAGGGTTTTAGTTTTGTTTACTCCTCTCTTGCTATTTTGGATTGGGCCTTGGTTTTTATGTCCAACAACTTTTTTATGTGAAGCATAATCCATATTATAATCAATTAGAGTAATGATAAACGGATACTAATATTACATAAATATGAAAAAATATTTAAAAATTATAGATAATATGATCAACTAATAATAATAATATAATAATAAAAATAAAAAGTATAAAAAGTTATTAATAGGTATTTTAATATATTTTTTATTCAAATTAAATGTAAGTTGAGAAGCTCCTACGAAGAGCTCATACATTTCTGGGTCGGCTTCATTGTTTGAAAATAAAGATTCATAAGCATAACCACCAATACCAAACAAATAAGTTCATAATTTAATAAGCTCCTAAGGTAGAATTTTTTTATTTTTCTAATTACCTATTTGAGTAAAGCAAGCATGGAAACAAGGGGTTAATGAACTAAATTCAGGTCCAAGTAGGGCTGACCCAATGGTTAATGTTTATTTTTTTACATCTGTACCCAAATCCCACC